ATATATATATAGCAGATTGCGACGGATGTGATCTGTGGTAAAAGACAGCCTGTTTCTACTGTCTTTTTTTATCTCTTACGTGTCAAATCAATTCCAACTTGATTTCGGTTGCTTACTTATTAATTGAATTCTGTATATCACTTATTATGTGAATTTTGGATTTCTCGACTAGCTGAGTTAATCATCCAATACCTGTTCTTTTTTTGTTAGGTCAACAAGCGCACCAACAAGCTCAGAGAGACATTCCGTGTCCCATCTACGCTCCACCCGCCCATAATAGTTCGTATGACATTGGAATGATTGATCACTCTGACGAACTGTACTCCTCCTCAAATCAGTCAGGTCCAGCTGGAGCGCATGATGACAGGATAGGTGTGAGTACAGAGCGTATGACTGCTGTGCCAGATCCGGTTCATCTACGAACCTCAGCCTCAGGTGCCAGCACGACTGGATTAGTCCCGCGACGCCGAAAACGTCGCGTGCTTCGTTCATTAAGTCACATGACTGGTGGCTCTGGTGGAAGTGGAAGTGGTGGTGTTGGTGTTGTGGGTGGTTGCAGCGCTCGAATTCATCGTGCACGTGGATCTCGAATGCATCGAACGCGTCGTGAAAGTTCGGATACATTTGAAGAACAGGCTGATGAATTGTTCGACATGGTAAATACCTCATAGAACTTCATACATAGAACTTCATGCATAGTTTTGTCATACTATTAGCAATGCAAAAAAGTTTCTACACTGCATCGATGGATCATATATCTGAGTGATACAACCTACGCCAACTTGTGTTTTAATTGTATCTGTCACTACCGAGGGGGTTTCTTTTAATCGCTCACTTCCAATACTTATAACCGATGAGGCCTTGGTCCAAAGGAAATTTCTGTACATCCTATGGTTATGCATATTATGGAGTGTGTGGGGAACTGCCATCTTGCAGTGCGGCTAACACACACCTGAAGTGAGATTAGTGCATCTGGAACACACAGCAGTCTTTTTAAACAGTCCTCTGCCTCACTGTTATTCGGTGCTGAAAATGAGATGAAACCAAGACAACGTAATGCTGCTTTGTTTTCAAATTTAGGTCTAAATGCCCAACTGCCGACTGTAAGAACTGTCAGTTAACGAAAAATAGTACCCTTGCATGTGAAGCAAGCTGGGTTATACGAAATGGGTTTTTCACTGCACACCTCTTGTGTAATAAACAACAGGAGGAACGCCATATTCACTAGGACCTGTTTTTCAGTCATGGGAAACCGGCAACCTAAGCCCCGCTAGGCTAGACGTGCTATTGAGTCAGGCGGGAGCGAAACTGCTTACCATAAATCGGATTTCATATTCTTCTCATCTTTCAATTTATCCTTTGTTTTCATTTGTAACCAACTCATCTGTGAGTTTCGATAGCAATCAGTTGAACTCATCATTAAATTAATATGACCATAACATAATGCCCACTTTTCCATGTGTGCCCAACCGGCGAACCATCATTTGGTACAGATCCGATCGAATTTCCATCCAGATTTTCAATATAAATCACATTTATCTCTTGTTTTTTTACGCGTTTAATTCACGTCAGCTGGTTATGTCTCGAAAAGCTTGTGTCTCCGAGGTGGATAAAATGCGTGCTGATTTGGCTTGTATCCAGCGGAACCTGCCACATCTGTATGCACCTTGTGGTCATACGGATAATCCCAATCGTTGGGTAAGTTTGTCATCATTGCGTTGCATACTCTTGTCAATCTCACACAATGACGCAATCGACTAATCACTTGTTCGGAAAAGGCGGACAATATTTTTTTGTACGGAAAACCTAGAGCTACAGAGCATCTTGTGAATTCATTTTTCCTTCCGTTCTCAAGTCACGTAACTGGTTGGCTTTGTGTTTGGTGTCGTGAGTGAATTTTCAGTTTTTTTTTGTCCACTACTGCTTGGGTCCGATAGAATCGGTCGGCATTCCCCATCTGTGCGCGCGTGTGCATTGCGGTTGTCAAATCGGATGCATCCTCCCCGCTTTCGACGCGTGTCGTCAATTCCACAATTCCTCATGTTGGTGGAGTGTGAATGTTTCCTATCCAGGTTGACCAATCAGCATGAAACAGTTTTGCGTGACTGGTCGACTGACTGACACTTCAGGACAGGTGGTGGTGGTCCTGGTGACGGTAGAGGTTATAGGGGACCGGGATGAATGGCAAGGGGACGAAAGTTTATGGTGCGCGGTTGGCATCATTGGGATAGAGATGCGTGTGTGTATGTGCGTGCGTACGAGTTCGTCTCCATGTTGTGCGTGTGTGCGAACCATGGTTTTGTAGCCACTTAAACACGCTTTAGTCAGCAACAGACCTCAGATCAGCAACCAGCATCCAATCAGCTCTGTGAATCATCCTGTGTCCTTTCCCCACCCCTCTTTCGTGAGTCTCTGTTCTTTGCCGACTTCTCATCAGGTGCACGTGATTTTTCATAGACGCATCTCCATAGTTCTGAGTGATTTTTTTGATGAAAGCACAACCGCATAGTCGTTTGCTTGTACGCCCGTTCAGACGCGCGCACACACACAGCCGCACACGAATGCGGGTCCCAACCGCGATAGAACCCGGGAGTTCATCGCTTCGAACCAGCTTTTGACGTCATCGATTTAAATATCAAACCCGGTGCTCGATTTGTGTACTCCACTGACCATCTATCTGTGCCCGCTTGACCTGTATTCGAACGTGTTTTTCGACTTGTGAGCTCCGTCGGCATTTTAAATGTATTGGCATGCGCAAACGATGATAACTACCAACCACCAATGCGTGTGTATCCCCAATCCGCATAGATTGTACGCACACATTCGAACATAGCTAAGTTTGAGCATTCCCATTGGCTCTCGGATTATTCGGTGAAAATTTCCTTCTCTCAGCCGTTCCCCTTATGACGATTTTGGTAAGTGAATGCAAGTTTGGTATTTTACATCTTACATCTGATTTGGAATGTATTTGGGTCAATTTAAATGTGCTGCAAGATATCCTGGTGCTTTCAAGTAACATTGGATATGTGTCTGATAGGTGTTGGTATGGGTGTGCGTGTAGAGGAGGATGGGAGAGTTGAAACTGGATTAGTAATTATAATGTACTAAATTGCAAGCGCAGGTGACAGAACTGCTGGATGCTCTGGCATTTTTAGGCCATATATGCCTGCGTTTCTATCGAACCATGTCAGTCAACTGAATATCGGGTCGAGTATATGATGGCACTGTATGCAAAATTAGGAAAATGCTTCCTTTACTGTGTAGATGATATTGGGTTTCGCATATAGAAATACAACCAGGTTACTCAAGGGACGACCCGATAGATCGGCTATTCTCGCATCATTTCCTTCATCATCAACCTCTTCTGTCAGATGTAATGGAACTCCTGTATAGCACATCCAAGTGATCTGTGAAACCCTGGGATACACAAGGAAATTGTATTATTGGTAGGTTGACTACTATCAAATTCGGAGATAAGGTGGTTAAGCTCATCAATAAAGCTACTCAGAGGTCCTGTGTTTGAATCTCACCATCACTGCTACCCACCTTTTTCTCTCATTTCTGCATCCCTACCTTTAATTAGCTGCAGCTCCTGTTCTGAAAATTCTGTGTGCAATTGTGCATTCGACCAATGAAACGGAAGCCAAATTATTCGTATTATTGATTGTTAATTATTATTAGTGATATCCTCCGGACAGTAGGAACATTTTCAGGTACATTTTACGGTATATACACGTATCTTAAAAAGGTTGGTGCATAAATGTGATTTCAATTATCACTGTAGCATTTAGATTAATCTATTTTGTAGTGTTCTAGCATTATTCTTCATAATCAGTGATCAATTTCACTTTCGTGCAAATTTAATTCATCTACGCGCAAAACCACACCTTCCCTCCCGTTTTTCGTTCTTCGACGATTGAAAGTAACCAACCTGAGTACTGGTTGCACATAATCAAAACGGCCGAATTTTCTCTCCCGGGAGCAGTTAGGCTAATAAATCACGTGGCCCCTCATTTCTCGACAGCCAATTTTGGACAACTGATTCTAGACAGGATACGCTGTGATTGTGAAGGTGCAAACATGCATAGACTATGCAACATGAGAATGCATCGAAACGCATTCTCTACTCATGCGTCTCACTGATAATTTCATTGAGTTGAAACAGCCGCGATGTCGCAATATCTGTCGCATAGCAGTCTGTTCGTGAAATACCTTTTAAATAGGTGGTAGCCAGCTGCTACACAANAACCGTCCTGTTTTCAGGACTCGCTGATAGGCAATATTTTCATTGGCCTTTCTTCCTCATAAGTTGCGAATGGTGCCTACCTTTGTGTTTCATTCGATACCTGTTATTTCGAGTCAATCTTCTTTAGTATAACCAAATCTGTTCACTTTTGAAGAGAAACATCGGGCGTCTTTCAGACAACCAAAAAGTCATGCGATACGAATATTTGATACTTTCAGCAACTGACGATAAAATATGTGAGTATCCGGATGAAACCTTGTAACCACCGGAATTTAACGTCTTTCTTGTGTATTTCGACGAGATATAGCACCGTGTCACAGTTTTACTCTTATCCAGATTTTACCACGGCAGTTTATGGTCTTTCCCCATCAATGTAGTGATAATGCAGCTTATTGTCATAGTTTTGTCCTCGTGAGATTATAATCCCTCTAGGGGAACATCGTAAACCCGTCGAGAACAAGAGAATCAGTCGATCGATGACAATTTGTTCACCCATGTTACGACTGATCCTAGAGAAGCCGGAAACTGTCTTTTTCTTTTGAATACTGCTTACTTTTATTGGAATGGATGTACACTACAAGCTGCTTTAGTAAACTTGGTGCTAATAATAGCTGTTTTGTTCACCTCGTTCTACTGCCCTCACTGACTCACACTTTCTCTTGCCCTGTTGTGGATATGTTGCATTTCGGAGGGGGGTAAACAATTTATGCCTTTTCGGTTCACAAAAATAGACTGAAAATGTCGCACATAATCCACCATACAATATGCTGAGAACAATGGATCCCAGTGAGGCTCGACTGGACAGTCGTGGCGGACATCTTATGACTCGAAGTTATATGGACAGTTTGACTAATGTCACACGACCATCTCCTGGTGGACCGAATGAGGGATCTTCGTTTGACGATGCGGACGAAACAAATGAAGCCTTCATGGCAAGCACGGTGCCGGAAAATCCTAATCATTATCGATCTCCGATTCGGAACAAATCGTCCGGGGAGAATGTACGTCGTTCAAGGGGACGTCGTCTTTTACCCGAAGCTGCACTGGTCGCTGAGGATGAGTTGCCAGTGCAATCAGATATTCACCGGTCCGAATTGCGTCATCATTCAATAACTTGTGCAGGTCAGTTGACTCCAAAGTATCAGATGGGACGTTTCACGAATGTTGTTCTCTTATTGTTGTTGTCAGTGGTGATAAGGGTAGTTGTACGGATTTGCTTCCACTCTACTAGCATTTTGCTCGGAGTATTTCTTCAAAGCTAAACAAAATGAATAGTAAATAGGTTTATTATCTTTTTGAACTATTTTTCGCTTTCGGTGATTGACATCTAATCGTTGTTACACTGATGTTGCCTGTTCAGATTCCAAGAATAAGTCGCAAACGTCATGTCTTAATCGTATTGGATGATGATTTTTCTCCTTTTATATAGAATAAGTGGTCTCCACATCACTATGTCTTTCTTGAGCAATTTCCCCTCCCTCCCCCGATGCCATTTTTAACCATTTTGCAGATCATTCACATCATGGACTTCCTTTGTTCTTCCTCTGATGTGGTTCGACACTCATATATAATGTTTTGAAAATGCATCCCTTTGAATCATTTAGGTCAGTGAGTGAGTTGAGTCATTTTTGACTGTAAATAGACGCGATCGTACTTGTGTTGGTGATCGTGAATTAGAAAATTTTCCTCCTGTTCAACGTTTTCTCTTCTTCATAAAACAGATTTTCCCATAATTCATATCAACACATTTAGTATCCAGACGCAGTATTGCTCGAGACTGTTCTAGTGTATATGGCAATGGAAGAACGGTAAATTACATCAATGGGATCATTATGGGTTCGATCATCCAACAAATGAGTAATTGCTCGTGCTACATAATCGAGACAATCATTGCCCAATCTCTTTGGATCGATTCCAGATAATGTTACGGTTCTATTAACATCGCTCTTAGATTTTGTTTTATAAAGTCTTCTTGGAATCCATTGTGCATTGGGCTTGTGGGTACCACCAAGGGACGGATAAAACGTGATTTCCATTTCAGTGTATGGTACTCTGTACTTTTCTGTTGAGATCGTAAAACAGTTGCTCATTTACTCTTTAATAATTAGGAAAACTTGGTAATTAGTCATTCACAGTATGCCATCTCATCAGTTTTCTATTTTTCCCCTCAACTTTGCTTTGCCTGTCTAGCTTTAGGCCGTCAGTCTTCCTCTATCCCGCGAGACTTTCTTCGCACCTCATCTCATCCGAGCCGGTCGAATGCTCATTATCCGGCCCATCGTTGGGATCCCTCTTATCCTATAACTAGAGCCAGTGCCCCGGGTCTGGCGGGCTCACCCCATCTGGGCGCGCGTCCACCCCGGGGTCGGTCGTTGGATTTATCTCATCAGTCACGCACTTTGCATCAGCCGCATGAGTCTGGTGCGCAACGGGCCACAATGTTTGCCACACAGCATGGATCATGGTTACCCGGAGCAGATTATGTGGATGAGGAAGATCCAAGCACTGAAACTGCGGCGTTGCTCAATCTAACGGAGGAATTGATGGGTTTACGTCAAGGACTGAAACAAGCCAGACGGGCGAATGCAGACAGGGTAAGAAATAGTTTGGTTTATCTGTGGCTTGTGCTTATCTGCAAAAGATTTTCGCATACAACGCGGTTCATCCTGAATCAGTAGGGTGTGAATAGCTAAATCATGTTCCCTGTACTATGCAGTACAGCAGTTTAGAATAATACATGGGATTACACGATGCAAAGATGTATTAGTACACGATACGTAATTGAGAAATCACTCCGTTTATGAATGCATATTTTGGGTACCAATTTGGAGTGTAGTCTTCTCCCTATTTGAATGATACTTTTCGCCAGGAACGACAATTCATGCCCATTCATTTGTTCCCACAAGCAGTTTCTCTTCCTCCTCTTCATAGTTAAACACGTGCGTTATTTCCCTCATTTCCCTCGAATGGCTCTTTATTATCCGATGAAATCTTGATAGTTCCATCAATTGCAGTCACTTTATTGCTTTCATTTCAAAAATGTTTGCATCAAAAATGAAAACCTCCTTAGTATGGACTGGTATCTTGGTTGTGTTCTATTTTTCTTCATGGTTTACTTATTTTCGATTTGGAATTTGTTGCACTACCGTTCTCATTGTCGGATAGTTGTCAACTTCAGTGCGTCTTGGCGAAGTGCGCACTGAACTGAACTGATTGTATATTAGAAAAACTCAAATAAGGTGTATGTGGTTTCCATAACACGAACACGTGAACCTAATTGTTGTCTCTCTGTCCGTTTGCTTTTCCTCAATTTGTACACGTAAAAAACAACAGGAAGTGCTAGGTGTGATTATAAAAAGCAGTATCCAAGTGACTGATGCTGGATGGATTGTATTCTGGATTACACATCGAAATCACATCGTCCGCAGGCTGTTCATGAATTGTTCGCCAGTTTTATCCAAAGCACGTGATCAGGTACTGCATTTGGGTAATTAATGGCAACTTTTGTGGAAAAAAATCTAATGGGAGTATTAATAGCAACATACTCAGACACAATCTTTCTTTGCGCTATGAGTGACCAATTCTTATTTTGGAATTGGTGGATTAATATTAGTCTATCTTTTAGGGCAATTTATTTGCAATCGATACGTCAAGATCTAATTTACCAATTCAGAAGATATATCTGTTTACCCAATGCACCTCAATAATAATCGATTCCCCTTGGGTGGTTTAGGATTTTGGGTAGTGCATTTATTTCCAGGTGAAAAATGGTACCACGAGTTCATAAACCATCCAGCAAAATGGTTGGGAACCAGCTGAGTCTCGGCTTCACAGTGTTGTACCGTCTTGAATAACGACGATGGGTCGTTCCATTCTGATCCCTGTAACGTTGATAGCTGTCAGAGAAATGCTTCATTGAAATGTTTTCCTCGGGCTCATGACAATCTATCCTTCTAATTGATGTTGCCAGTTGGCTTGTGTGTTCACTGTCGTCTGTTTGCACTAGTGTGTCTTCTCTTTGTCTTGCAACTTAAACCTACATATATTCGTTATCTTCACCCTTAAACCACTCTCAACATTCCGTCTATCCCTTCATCCAAATGGGCAACCAAAAAAAGCACCGAAAGCGGCAGCGAGAAAGTGGATACTTAACAGTTGTTCAAATTGGACTGAAGTGAATTATACCCACTTTGATGAGTCATTCCATCGGATCACTAAATATCACGTGTTTGGTCCACTTAACCCTTTGTTTGTCTCAATGGTTCCAAACCCAGTGATGTTGCCGTAACTTTTTAAGTTCTCATTCAGGGAACAAACCCTTTATCTGTCAAATGGATTCTTTTTCAATCTCCTAAATGAAATGGTATAACAATCTTGGAAAACATATTTGATGTGTGAGAAAGTCCCATTTGATCTTTATAAAAGCAATGGTATGCGTGATAATTTGCTTTTCTAACACCACCCTCAGGCCTATTCCAATATGTGCATGATAGATTGCCCCGGAGTGGTCGATGAAATTGGAGAAGAATGTCGTGAGTGGTTTGTAGGTATCATAAAAGAGACGGGAACCACATGCAAAGTTTGGCGGGCGGTGCGTGACCGTCGACCAATCATTGGAGTGGTTGGTTGCAGTTTCTGACGTCATCACCGAGTGACAGAGTTCGTAATCATGTCGATTTGTCAGGTCACCTTTAGGGCATGATAGTTAAAGTGCACACAGTTATACGATCAACCGTCTAAGGTTCTCGTTTCTGCTGTTACTACTAATTACCTCAAAAATACATGTTGTTTCTCTCTAACACTGCAACTTTGTCTCTCTGCACTCCAACTATTTCTTTGAATTTCTAATCCCGCACATCAGCTGGAAATGGCGCTGCGCCAAATTGGACTTTTAGAAGTGGAACTCCAACGGCAGCGCTGCTTGACACACGATGCCCAACTGGCCCGGGATCGACAGGCGGAAAGGTCGCGCTGGGAACGCGTAAGTCATGTGAAAACAGACTTTATGATGCTTGATCCGTGTAAACACCACGGCTCCCAATGAGTAGACATACCGAAACCAGCAAAACAGTGTCGCCTAGCTGTGTAGTCGAAATAGTGTTACTTCAAAATAGGACCTCAACTGATTCATGCTAGTGAACGCTTATCAGAAGCTGACAAACAGCCCATATATGTGGGTTATCGTCAAATCAAGTTACAAAATTCTCCCTCTGCGATTTTACAGAAACCTGTTCTGCTGAATAACGCTCATCTAGGCCTCGATATGCTGATTGAAAAATGTGTAGTGCAATCAATTCCGATGATGTCAATGTTCTCCATGTGCATCTAGATTTGCTACGGAACAAGCTAAATTGATGGTCGGATCACTTGAAATAATGTGATGAAAATGTTTGTGATAACCGACCAAGAGCACTGGACAGCTGTTTCGTCCTGTTTGGGACTCGTCACCAGTACGTACTTTTTGTGTCCCTGTCAGGACTCGAACCGCGAACATTCAGTTGGGACTTTAAACCCTTATCCCGGAGCTACACGGTCGACGGTCATGTTGTGCGAATGGCTCAATAAAAGAAATTGAAATATTCGTATATTAAGATTTTATACCGGGTCAACTTGATTTGCATAAGGTATGAAACAAACGGTTGTCCTCGTGTACAACCGTGATTGGAAGTTACCTGACGGTAGTCGATTGTTTAAGCTCTTCTATCCTTATTGTTATTTTGTTTGCTAAATGATGAACCATTCATCTGCCGATCACTTGACGTATGCAGCTTTGTGTTTTAGAGACTTTGGGGAGCAGTATATTGCAACCCATCAGAAATTTAACCGATCAGTCAATCAATTAAACAATTCTAGATTGATTCGCTACTATTGCTTTTCCTCTGTCAAGCAGGATTAATGGACGGCGCCCGTGGAGACCAGAGTCAAGACACTTACCCATACAAGTAGTATGACTGTTTACGGACCATTTTCTCGTCCAACATGGATTTCCTTCTGTGCGGCAACAAATCCCATTTATTCCGAAAGTTAGCAGTAACCTGACAAATTGAAACCCGTATCGATCACCTTTAGTGGTCATAAGTTATAACTACCTCGTTTGCTCAGATGTCCACCGCAGTTATCATTCATATTCTCCAGTTAAACAAATATTTAAATGCGAGTGGAATTCATTCAGGTTTCTTCAATGTAAATATGAGAAATGAACAAATATCTTAACAATCGACCCTATTCATCACGGAAAATGTCCAAGGTTGGCAGGTAGATCAACACAAGTCAAGGTAAACAAATAGTTCTAAACTCTTTAATTGTGTCAATACAAATTATGTGCCATGAAATCCAGGGGATACAGTGTGATTCCGAGTTCCGTTTAAATGAAGCCAGTATATTCTGTAAATCTGTTGAGTAAGTCTGCTGCGTGACAAGCGTTTAAAATGTAAACATGCCACGTAAAACGCTGATCGAGAT